CAGAAACCTGTTATCAGTCATTCAAAAATTATATATGATTGTACATTTTATTAAAGAAACATGCCAGAGTAAAAGCTATCACAATGTTCTGTGATATTCCTTGTCAAGTAAAGCCCAAATTTACTGAACTTCATAGAGCCAAGTTCTCTTCTTTTGTGTGTGTGTATACTTCAAACAGAAATGAATGTAGTCAGTTTAGCCATTTCCACCCACCTCTGAATGTGAACTTCCTCAAATTGAATAGTATCGTAATGGTAGAATTTTTTTATCTGCTTACATTTTTCAGTACAGCAACAAAAGTCCCTAACCTTCCCGGGAGAGAAAGGGACTCTAGCTGCTTTCAAAGCCCGGATATCCCTCTGTAATATCATTTTTAGAATTCCTTTTGATTAACACATTAATTTCCTCTTAGAAAAGCAAACAAACAGGAAAAAAACAAACAGTAAAGTCCTCCCATCCCGCTTCTCAGAAGCGATGACTTTGAAATTTGTCTCTATTCATCTTATGCTCTGCCTGTAAAGCTATCTTAAATGACTCTTCTTTTCCTGGGAGAGCTGTTTCTTCCGTATGCTAAGTGTCACATTGCTTTTAAGGCCAAGCAGCTTATGTTTTCAGAAGAGCTCTATTGTCTGTCGGTTACTATCATTCTCTTTTTAATCATTGTTGATGTTGCGGTTTAGTAAATGGATTGGTGTAACATTTTCTACCCTAGAGATTGGACTTTCTTCTTAATGTTTTCCTTTCATTTACTCTTCTTTTGAGAACTTCCCCTGCATTATCCTGGTGCTGTTCCAAGGGGAGTCCATATAGTTACAGCAGACCAGCTTGCTTAGAGCAGAAGGTTTTTTTACAGTCACTGGCCTTTACGCTTTGCACAGAGGTAGGCAATACCAGACTACACAGCTGACATTAATTGTGTAAAGTGATGGAAAGTGAAGACTCTCCCCATGGAAACATATCACACTACACTTGAAGTGAAGCAGCTGGTTCTCACTGAAACACTTGTTTACTCTGGAGGGCTGGCAGATCTGAGCCCAAGAGCTGGGCTGTAGCAGGTGGGAGAGATGATGAGAGCCTGCAATACTCAAGGAAGCCATTCTCCTGCACATGGATTGTTAGTATGCTGATATGTCATACTAATATACGGTAGCAAAGAAAGTGCAGGAAGATGCCAATAAAAAGGAAGCCAAAGGAGCGGAAATCTCTGCTGCTAAGAGACACTGCTTTCAGTAAAATTGTTATTGAAAATAATCTTTAGATATAGCTAAATGTTAACAGTGATATTTTTATCCTTAAATCTTGATATCCGTACATACTGAAATCAGAATTTACCCAAAGTGTAACAGAAAAAGTTTGTTGTGTTAAGTAGCACTCCTTTAGACAATCAAGTTCACTACTGGTGCAAGTGATGTATCTCCATTGACTTTGACAGAATTTTAGCCACTCATGGTGGAAAGAAATTTGGTCTTTACTTTCAAAGTTCAATAACAAAATGATAAATGGTACGGTTAACTTTAATTTTGTATTTGAAAGTTGATAATAATGATTTTCACAGTTTTTACACCAACTGAGATCAATGAAATCACATTCCCAGACATATTGTTGTCAAGCCTAAGGCTTGGATTTAGAGACACAGTAATGGTGAAAATGTGCAAGCTATGTGAGGGTGCTGGAGTGGAATTTCAATTTTGCTGAACTCTTGACCGAAGGGAGAGAACATGAAATATGTGAGAGCACTGATAGGAAGAATATTTCTGTCTAAGGGAAAGATCAGTGACCACTAGTGGAGTGAGGAGTTATGGCACAGCTGTAATTAAAAGCTGAAGAAAGGTAAAGAAGCATAAAATTAAAGTTTCTGTTTAGTCTGGGCATGTTTGAATCCCAAAAGAGGGAAATTAAAGACACTGGATGTCAGAGAAGCAGAATGAAATAAAACTGAGGGCAAATAGTCTAAAACATTTTGTAACAGCACATAACTAACCTGTGGAAACCCTTTCAGAACACATGGTGATTAGAAAGCTTAGTAACAACAGCAGTAAGCATTTATATTAACATGTGTCCAGTTCAAAGCTTAGGAAAAAAAAAAATTTAGCTGGAAAGCTTTAGGCTTTCAGTCATAAGCCAGCCTGTCATTGACAGGGCATTTCCCTTAAGGACTGATTGTTACATATTTATTACTTCAGTAGTCATTATTACAAGCTCTGATTTAGCTTGTTGAAACTGAAGAGTTGGACCTTACACTGTCAGTTTAGTCCAGTCAGACAATTCCCATATTGTGCTATGTTGGCACAGAAAACAGAATCTTCAAAGAACAATTTCTCTCTGGACTGCAGGGCCAGGATATGTATACTCCGCAACCTTTGGTTCCTTATTTGTTCCGCTTGGATAGATACCAAAAGATTTCTGGAACTTACTGTTGTCTGCCAGTAAGGAAATTATAGGTGTAACCCTACAAGGCATGCTGTGGTTGCTTGGTATCTTGTCAGCCTGTTCAGCTTGGAAGGAATCATTAGAACAAAACCGTACTCTCCTCAGTAAAGGAATAGGGAAATGATAGAGTTATGTGTGCTACCATGCTGACAAGGCCTGTCTGTGACACTTGACTTTGACCGGCATAGAGCTTCTGACGTACTTTCGGGAATACCAGCAGTAGTAGCTATGTCCCTTAAACTGTCAAGTATTTCTGCATGAATGAGTGCAAACTATTGAATTTGGAAGTGAAGAGGTTTCAGAGAAGTTGTGTGGCTACATTATTATGCCACTTAACCCCAGCTGCTATTTTCAGTGAGGCTTTTTGTGGGGTATCATGACTACTTGAATTCTGGACTAGAATTACATCACTTCCAGCATTTTAGCAGAGCCGGACAGTGCAAACATGAAACCATACTGCTCATGTGGATCTGTCCTAAGTGTTCACAAACTGTTCATGGGTTGGACCTAAACTGGAATTTCTGTACAATCCCCTTGAAAATATCCTATTGTGTGTAACAGCCACTGTTAGTCATAGAGCTTTTTCAGGAAGTCAGTGAAGCCAGATAAATCTGTAGAAGCTTGAATCCAGTGTGGGCTGAGGAAATTAGCCTCTTCATTGACCTGAGTGGTTATTTGTTGTTTTGAAATTTCTTTTTCTCTCTTTACCAGAGAGCTGTCTAGTGATGTAGGACCAGGGGGAATTTTAGGCTAAAATAAGAATCCAAGATCTCTTTGAAAGTCAAATGTAATATTAACAACATATAGCTGTGGATAATGCTTTAAAATGGTTGAAATCTTTTCTTGAGGCAAAGCACATTTAATTATTGCTCCCAGAGCCCTCAAGAAACAGTATGCAAGGAGAATACCAATACTTGCGATTTGCCAGAAAAAAATGTATTTCCGGAGTATCAGGCAAAACTCTCAAGTAGGTATGATTAAATATCTTCTTTTGTAGTCTCTAAGAGAGATTATATTAGGATGGTTACATGTAAAAAGAGTACAGAGAAAGCCTGCCAGGTGCAGCTATTTAATTTGGCCCTTTGTAACAGAACATGAGGACACTCAAAGATAAGAAGAAGCTATTTTAAATTGAATTGCAGTAGTATTTAAACACGGTGAATCATCTAGAGAAGGTTTGTTATGGTTTCCAATTAGTCTTGTCCTTTAATAATAAAAAAGATGACACTTAAAGCTAAAAGAAAATTGTTAAATCAGGAATGTAAGAAAGTAGATTACCTAAACAACATTTAATCAATTCACAGCAATCTCATGTCTACAGGCAATTATTGAAGCAAATAGCTTAATTCTTTAGAAAGATGTCAGAGTGAGAATAGTGAAAGTCCTTAAATTAATTGAGATTATGGGAAAAATCTACTTTTGTTAAAAACAGAAGTGTATTATACAGTTATTTGTGCTGCAAAAGTGGGTTATGTTTTCCTCTCAGACATCAGCAATAAACAGTATTGGAAGCAGGATGCTGGACCAAATGAGTGAGAGAGGTGCCGATAACTTCTTCTGCCCTTTCCTGAGCATTGTTTCTAATTGGGCTTGCTCCAAAGCTTGTTTAAGTTCTGAGGTTGAATCAGACCTTTTGTAGGCTCTCACTGGCTTCAGTTCTGCTTGGGGAGATCTTACCAACATCTGAAGCCACCTGCTTGGACCAAAAAGTCTAGCTCTAAAAGCAAGTACCGTTGAGTTTCTCATGCTTATACTTCAGGTGTGCATGCTGGCTATAATTGATTTGTTCTTAATGCTTCATTAAAAATAAATCAGTGAGTAATGTCTGTGCTATCCCTTTGCATCTCTTTCTAATCCAATCTAAGATTCCTGCACATGGCAGAAAGGTCAGTACACAGTCACATTAACAGAGAACATTTATAGCTTGGTTTGTTTCGGGTTTTTTTTGAAGTGAGGCTCGGGTATTGACGATTACACTAAAATGTGCTTAGTTTTTTGCAGAGGTTCACACTGCTGTTTGGTACACCAAATTAACACATGACCTGTTCACATCTATAACCTTTATCAGTGGAAACTACCTACTGCTTGGTCTTAGTCTTCAGAGAATTTAGGGATGAAGGTGATTCAGTAAGCAAATCCTATCAAGCCATTGGGTAAACTGTGTGTCTTCTTGTGCTTGGAATAGTTATTAAGGGAGATCTGTCTGTCCTTCTTTGAATTATTTATAGTAAAAGTAAAATATGTCCAGAACCATAGTCTGTGAAAGGTTACTGCCAGCCTGATTTCATGTTTAGGACATTTGTTTTATCTGTGGGTCAGGATCTGCATGTACTACTGTTGGCTGCAGTTCATTCTAGAGCCATTTTACCATCATCAGAATCCAGCCGCATACAATAATCACTTCATGGAAATAACAAGATCTTCATGCCTCAATCTGAAATACGAAGGAAGAAAACAAACATTAGAGAAGAAAAAACGTTGGGTAGGGCTGCCTGAATGGTTTGAATTAAGATAAACAGGCACACTCCATGTGACCGGCCACTAACAATAATTTCATCTGGTTCACCTAGAAAAAAGAAGAATGGAGAAGAAGAACAGCCAAAGTCCTCTCTCAGTAATCAGTATCGAATTGTTACACCTACATTCCAGTATAATATGGACTACAAGAAAGTTGGCAAATGTATTATTATAAACAACAAAAATTTTGAAGACAAAACAGGTAATGTTCTTCCTTTGATGATCCTCATTACAGACTTTAGAATTTTTATATTTTCATTAATCAATAAGCATTTTTCTTTTAGGACATGGAATTTTAATGAATATATTTATCTTTTTTGAGAAAAAGATTGTTGTTCCTACAATTTATTCCTGTTCTTTAACACTTAGGTTAGAGCAGCTCTTTGCAGCTTATCTGCAGGATATGTTTCAAAGAGCATGTCACCTTGCTCTGCCAACTTCAAACTACACCTTTGTCCCAGAGTTTAAGGCTGGAACTTTGGCATCTGCTGCTCATGTTATAACTTCTCTGTCACTGAGCTACAGCTATGAGCTGCAAAAGCTAATAGCTGTAGCTCTGCTCTGTTCACACTCCTGCATTTAACTTTTCAGACCATGTACAGTCTCAAAGCAGACAGATACTTGTGTTATAGTCATCTTTATAGTCTTTTCCCATACACTTGGCAAACACACTAAATGAAGTGTTTATTCCAAAGAATTGACATCAGTTTCTTTTATGTGGGTATCATAGGGACTCTTTTCAACAGTTTTTCCTTGGAGTGCTTTATGCATATGTTATACTGCTAAACCAAAAGGAGACGGAATCATCCACAGAGGTCCTATGTTGCAAGGTGCTGGAGGCATGCCAACATTTTTCAGGATAAGATACGTGTTAACACTGAACCTTGCATTATTTTGTATTAAAAGAAATCACAATTTGTTCTCAAAGCTGAGAATGCTGTTAAAGGATTGTTTTAAAATCATGTCACCATGACATTGTTTAGGTTTATGAACTATAAACCTAAAAATTTATCTTTGAACACGTGGATTATTTTGAATTGTGTAATGTGCAATCAACCATATTCTTTGTTTTCTGGCAGGAATGGGTACACGCAATGGCACTGATAAAGATGCTGGAGATCTAGCTAAGAGTTTTAGAAACTTAGGTTTTGAGGTTTACACATACAATGACCGAAGCCGTGATGATATGGAAAAATTACTGAAGCAAGGTAAAAATTTAGAATCATAGAGTGGAAAAGACCTCTGGAAGTCACAGAATCTATGCCTTGATCAGAGCAAGTCAAATCAAAAATGATTGCTTAGGCTCCACAATGTGCAATTTTCTATATAGAAGGATTCAGTTTCTAAATGGATTAGGCTTAATTCCCCACCTCTTCCTCCAATGTCAATTCAGAAATACACAGTTTTATTGTCATATTAGGTGAAGTGCCTGTCCTGTGTATTCGGTGAAGAGCCTTGTCATATTAGGTAAAGAGTCCAGCTGGTTGACTCCAGTGGGCTAGACTCAGAGTCAAGCAAAGGATGCATTCATGTATTCAAGGTACTCATCACATTACTAAAAAGTGGGTTGTGTCATCTTTATCTGCTCCTTTTTATGCCTTCCAGTAGAGGCCCAATGTGTATTTAGTCTCGGAAAAATGTGTTTGCTAAACATAATTTTCATGTAAAATGTTGCTTCCTCTTGGCTAAGAAGTATTTGATTTGTAGCTGCTGAAGAGAATCACAGTGATGCCGCTTGTTTTGCCTGCATCCTTCTAAGCCATGGGGAAGAAGGCCTCATCTATGGCACCGATGGACCCATGGCTATCAAGAGTTTGACGGCGCTATTCAGAGGAGACAAGTGTAAAAGCCTTATAGGCAAACCCAAATTATTTTTCATTCAGGTAATTGCCCTAAGGTAAATATCCTACTGCTGCAGTGGGGAAAACATGCTATGTTGGTTGTCTGCTCTAGAAGAGCCCTGGAAGTTAATTACTGAATTTTGCTGGAGGTTTTGTGAAAAAATGTGTTGAAAGAAGTTGACTATGGGTGACTTGTAGTGTTTGTTTTTCCAAGTTAATTTATATACAAGATTCAGAGATGTAAAGAACATATTGTCATTGTAATTTTGTACATGGTTTCTCTTTGTGCTTTGTAATATATGAACTTCAAAGCAGAAAGCTGAACTCCCTCTTGTGCAGACAGAACTGAGGACAGTATGTGATTATCAATAGAAATAATACTGTCCAGGTCTCTTTGAATAAAGGCTGTCTCTACAAATTACTGTATTCTGCTAAAAGAAATATTTTTTCTCTCCCTCAGTAGCCTAAAAATTTACATTGCATTATTGCATTAGCATATAACTAATTGTATATTACTTAAGCTTTTGAAGACAGCTGTCTCAAACATTATTAACTGACATACCATGGGTCTGAATTATCTTTTTTATCATAGTGTTATGTACATATGGGAGTTGCAGCAGATGTGGTTTCCCTAGGCTGTTCCATCAATTAATTCTCTACCTCAAAGTGAAAACTGTGTCTATTTTAGACTGTTCATACTACTGAAGTGATGTTTCTTTTAATTATATGTTTGGAATGGGTACTTTGTTGCCTTTAAAATTATCTCAATAAAGGCAACCCGCTCATGTTATATAAGCCCATCAGACTGCTTTTGTTTGCAAGACCGGTCAGTAGAAGCTACTGATCAAGAACTGAAACCAACCCACCTGGACTGTGGTCCCAGTATGCCCTTTAGCTAAGCCTCAGGATTAAGAGGAATTAATAATAAAAGAGAGAAATGGAAAGATGTTAAATATGTAGTATACTTGAAATGAGTGGTCAAACGCTGGAACAGGTTGCCCAGATTGTAGAGTCTCCATCTGTGTAGATATTCCAAACCCAGCTGGACATGATCCTGGACATGTGCTGTAGCTGTCCCTGCTTGAGAAGGGGGATTGGACTAGATGATCTAGGGGTATGATTTTGTTATTCTGTGAAATGTAATGCTACAGCAGTGCATGTCAGGAACCAAAGACAATATGTAGTACATGATAGAGAAGATGTCCAGAAGCCATGCTGCCCAAGACATAATGTAATAATTGAGTGCTGAGAATGACTCTAGACGAGTAAAATTAATCATGGTTAGAATAAGCTAATGCTGACTTGGCTCTTTGACAATCCACTGAGATCCACAGCCTGCAACACCATTACCTCCTTTTGCTGTACAGGATGTATATTTTAAAACGGGTAAGCTAGTAACTTTATCACTGAACAATTAGATGTCCCCCAGAATTGCATTTCTGTTTCTAATGCATGCAAAGTACTACTTAAAATGAAAAGTGTTAATGAATATGTATTTTTATAACACCTTGTTTCTCCTTATTGGACAAGTTATCTTTGTTTTCACTTCTTTCAGGCATGCAGAGGCTCTGAATTTGATGAAGGTATACAAACTGACTCTGGACCTGCAAATGACACTCTGGAAACAGATGCCAATCCAAGATACAAAATCCCAGTAGAAGCAGATTTTCTGTTTGCATATTCCACAGTGCCAGGTAAAGAAAAGCAGGTTAGGGTGGGGATAGAAGACTAAAACTTATCGCACATATTGACTCCATTGTAGACTGACCCTCACTGATGATACATTGTACACTGAAGGGCAAAACACTAAGGCCCAGTGTATGTTGGGCCAGTGTGTTGTATCCACCCCTTTTACAGTAGCTATAGCGGAAACAGGAGAAAGCTGTTTGGTTTCTCCTGTTTGGCAGGTGAGAAGACGCAGACGTTACAGATGGCAAAGGCACTACTATTTTCTGGGAATCCTGTCCTTCCATGTCCCAGTTTAGTGAATATGCTGAATATGTGATGAAGGCAGGAAGAGGAACAGTTACAGCATGAAACTTATTCTTAGAGAGGAAAAACATAAAATCTTACTTCTTGCAGTTTCCCAAATGCAAAAATATAGGATGGTACTTTAGCAGTGTGATGTTTGGAGAGTTAATACACATTATTCTCCACTTTAATGGAGATAAATACGATATGCGACACAAGGGATAAGAATTAAACTTTCTGTGTGTTGTTGTGCATTGTTCCTCTTTGCCCAGAAACTTTCACACAAATTAGTACATATCTCTGTGCCATTCCATTCTTCAGCACAAGATAATAAGAAAAAAAGAGAAAAAATAACCTCATGTACTTTCTTATCTGTCTTTCCTGTAAGGTTATTACTCTTGGAGGAATCCTGGAAGAGGCTCCTGGTTTGTGCAGTCTCTGTGCTCTGTGCTAAATGAGCATGGAAAACAACTTGAGATCATGCAGATACTCACACGGGTCAACTACGTGGTTGCCACAAATTTTGAATCACAGTCTGATGATCCACGTTTCAGTGAGAAGAAGCAGATTCCCTGCGTGGTCTCTATGCTCACTAAGGAACTTTACTTCTGAAAGTGTAGTTTGATGCAGCCAGTGATGAAAGGTCAGGATATGGTTTTGGGTGGAGATTTTATTATAAACTGGAGTAACACATTTTTAATAACAGAGATGTAATTACACTAGATTTTTATATTGTATAAGCTGGGATATCTGACGGATGGATGATATGCAAGATTTTAAAGAAGAAATAAATGCTGTGAGCCAACCTGACAGCTAATTCTAATTACCGTATCTTGATTTCTCTTAGTGTGGTTGTCATGATTTATGGCTACTGAAGATGTTCTGAGAGTCAACTACCTGACCCATAAAGGTTTATTCCAGAAAATTGTCTTGTAAGTTAAGAACAAAAAAATTAAATCATGAGACTCCATCTTTTCTTTCACTGCTAGCTCATGGAACCATAACTTCCTTGGAAATTTCCAAAGACCATCATATTATGGGTACGTCCAGTGATGAAACAGTTTGTAGCTATTTAAAAGTTGTTTCTTAGTCTAATATATTCATTTCATTTTTACAAACATTATTAATGAAGACTACTGGTTGCTCTGTGCTTAATCTGGAAGTCAGTTTACATAGTTATCACACTAGCATAAGATGGATAAATAAAAAATCAATATTTGTAGATAGAATCATAGAATGATGATTTACCTGAATAGTATGGAAATGTAACAAATAGAAAAATCAAAATTAAAATCTTTGTAAAAGACTGGCAAACTGTAATTGGATGATGCCTTATTAAAGCACAATTGTAAAGATTTTTGCCTTGCAAACGACAATTGACAGAATGGCCTGAAACCACGGTATTGCAGTTTTTCTGCTTGCAGAAATAAAAATGTCTGCTTGTTAATTCAGAGTTTTAAACCAACAGAAAGTTAATGCCAAGGCTTTGTTACATTAAAATTTAATGTTGATATGATAGAATTATATGTTCCAGTAAAAAAAAAGTATGTTTAGATATAGCTTCTATTTGTGAGGAATTTTGCCAAGACTGGAAATACTTACTTGAATCAGAAACCAGAAGTGCCTTTTTAGTTACTGTACAGTCTTGATTTTGTATTTTGGAGTTACGTCAGTGATGTTTATATTCCTGCTTTTTATATTCTCTTTAAAGTTGGTAGCTATCTCAAAAAAATAAGTTTAATGATTTAGTTAAACTGATAAATGATTAGTTGTTCACCCTTTTCCCAGTTAATGTACTCTACACCTTTGAAATCTTCTAAAAAAATAAGTGCATGCTATTAAAGGCAAGTTACCAAATTATTAAGTTTATTTTCTTACAAATACTGTGGCATAGTGAGGCATATATTTTTTTTTCTTGTCAAATTTACAGTTGTTTGAATTAAATAAATGATTGTTTTATGGATGTCTTGAGCATGAAATCAATAAAGACCTTTTTTTAAATTTCCTATGAATATCTGCATGTTTGTCACTCAATCTGGTGAGGTGAAAACCAACCAAAATACATCCCAAAATCTTTCTCAGGCAAGAATGCAGATGATCTTCAGCATCTTTTCAAGATGAGGTTTACAGTGTCGGTTGAAAAGTAGTTTAGAAAAGTAAACTGGCATTGAGCAGCTTGGGTTAGGCAGGCCACATCCCCTCTTAGAGTAAACCAAGATTATTGAAAATATTTTAATGGAAATATCCTGATCTATCAGCGCTTAATCTTGCCCTGTGTATAAAATGTCTTTTATAAAAAGACACTGTAAACCGTACAGTGGTCTAGCAGTTCATATGAAAATGTTCTTCCTATTGCTCCTGGCAAATGCCTCCATCTTAAACTATTTTCTGGCATTAGAGATATTCCCGTTTTACCATGAGAAACATGTTGAGTCACCATTTCAGTATTCATTACTTCCTGAAAGCTCTTTCATATCTTTTTAGTTCATCAGTGTTTATTTGCTTAAGGTCTAGCCTGTTTTTAAATTTCTATTAACAATATTCCCCTGTCTCCAAAACTGTCCTTTTATTCAGATACATTGTAGCTCTGAAGCCAGAGAGCCTTGGGAACAATAAAGGAGCAAATAGGGGCTCTGAAACAGGTCATTTAATTTTTTAAAATCATGCCAAGGAGTGCAACAGCATAACAGGTAAGGACCAGATTTCCTCCTCTGTAGTGCTTTTTTTTCTTAAAGGTCCTTTGAGAATGATATTTTATTTGAAAAAATCTATAGCAAATTTATCTTGGCTTAGAAGCATTGGGAAAATACAAAAATTACTAGAAAAAGCCCCTGGTCCAGCCTACAAGGGACTGCTGAGAAAGAATCAGAAGAGTCAATATTAGTGAGTTTCCTCTATGAGCAGGAAAAGCTATTTGCCCTATTTGACACAATGTCTAAAAGAAAAAAAAAAAGTGGACAGAGCAGGTCTTTATCAGATTTGTTGTACATTTACCATGAGGGACACTAAATAAGGACAGCTTGGGAATTTCCAGCTGATAGGTGAAATGGTAGCTCTCTGTCTGAGAAAAAAGGCAAAGTAGTAACGTAATTTGAAGCTCCTCGGTGCTCTAACGTGGCAAGCCAACAAGGCACTCTCAACATTTGCAAGAGGTCTCCTGTTAGACCAAAGGTTTCATGGAAAAAGATGAAGGCACAAAGGAGCACAGCAATTCTACCTGCTGACTGACAACGAAAGGAAGAAGTTGAGGCTAAATCTAAACAACCTTCGGGCTAGTTCTGGTATATGAAATATACAAAGATGAGCATAAAATACCTGAAGAAACCACCAGAAAGGAAAATAACTTGGAAAGGTAACTTAAACTAGTGGTGAAAGAAAGAGAGAAAAACCTTGTGTCAGGACCAGTGTCTCTGCTAGATGAAGCATTACTTTAGATCACGTCCGAAAAACATTAATGTTATTTAAGGACAACATTTCCCACCGACAGACATCATGTCTGACTGATGATGTTTACATGCCGAGGGCTGTGCCAGCCCAAGAGCCTGAAGGACCCATTTGGAACAAGGAAGCCTGACCCTTTCCCCTGAGCAAGGCCAGGTAGCTGAATAGTGTCTTAAGCTAAAATGCCCTACAGCTTATATTGCCTGATCAAATGTATAACTATCTTCTGTCTAAAGACAATTCCCTTGCCATCTGCAGGATCAGCCAAATGGTTTAGTGTGTAAAATCATTATCATTAATGATATGCTGGGTGTTTCTGGAGAGAATGCAAAAAATTCACCTATAACCAAGACAGACACTGAACCTACAGTGAAAGTACATTGTCATTACGTAAGTAGCATGAGAAATCCTGCTTCACCATTGTATGTTTTAGTAAATGCTGTTCTTTAAATCTGAACCTGGTTACATTTTATGGTACTTTATGATCTTTTAGGATTCTTAATGTTGCTTTGTCTTCCAGTTATGGGTGGATATTATTATATTATTATTTTAGACATGGCTCAGGGGAAATAAAGGGACTGTTTAGAAGGCTGAATCAACAAAAACAAGCTGTCTCCAGGTTTTTTTCTGCATGGGAGACATTTATGGCTGCCTCAAATGTGCATGTGTTTTCATTGTTTGTAAGTGAATATTAATCTTCTGGATTTCCCCTTTCAGAACAGTCTTTAATTTGCCTCCCATGGTAGAAGCAGGAATTTCCTTGTGGATCATATTTCAGGGTGTTTGTATTTATACACAGACTTTAAGGCAGCAATCACAATGCAAGGCAAGGACACATCGTGTTTTGCTGCAGGAGGCAATATGGGGAATCTGGAAATAAGGTGTATTTCTCTAAAACCTTCTACACCATAAAGACATTTTGCCTGTAAGTATTAACGCTGTTTGTTTTCCTTATCTTGGTATTATATTTTTGAAATTTTATAATAGCCTACATCTTAATCATTTGCAGCATTTTATTTGCATTTTGACTGAAGTGCTTCATTGCATTTCAAAAGGTTGAAAGCAATCAAATCTCTTAATGCCACGCATACAAAAATCTGAGGGAGTATAATCATGGAACTGGCATTGTCTATTCTGAATTTGACATAACCTGTTTCAAATGTTGCTTTTCATTGAAGAGAAGAAACAATTGAATGCAACAATTAAAAACTTTTTCCCCAAAATGCAGAGAGAGAGAGCACAACTGTAATCTCATGGGTTTTTGTCTTCCCACCTGCAAATCTTGACTTCTACTGAAACCTAGAAGATACTTTTACCCTGTCAGAGGCTCTTGGAACATTGTTTTGCAAGAGGAGCATCGTTTGCCAGTCACAGTGACTCTGTCAGTCACATTGAAAACAGTATTATATCGCCTTCTATTGCAAGCCCAGGCATGTGCCCCTACTATTGACACTGAGAATCTGACTTTGTGTGCAGTCATTTTTAGTTTTGGAAATTGCTTTTTTGTCCTTTTTTTTGGTAGGCAATAGATGAAAATGCTAGTAGTAAATTTTATAACAGTCTGTCACAGCAGTTGTACAATGAATCTTTCTCAAAAAAAGGCAAAACTGCAAAGTTTTCCCTAAAAAAAAAATCAAGAAAAAAGTACAGCCAGGAATGCTCTGCAGAGTTCTCTCTGTGGTGGCTCATTCTAATTTACAGCATGGTATTGCCTGGAACAGGAGGTGTGGAAATCTATAACTATAGATGGGTGTCAGAGATAAATTTTTGTGTGTAACTAACTCAACCCATGTCAGATGAGTGAGACCAGAAAAAAACCAACCATTTTCTGACCACCGCTCCCAAATATACCATGTTTACTTCTGCCTCCATGGAGTAAATCACTGAAGAAACAGAAGCAAGGGAAACCCCGTAAACCTCTCAGTCCAGCCAGAGAGCTTTGCAAAGAACTAGGGAACAGCACTTGCAATCCTTCAGATTTTCCCAGAAGAGGCTCTGCAGCTTCAGTGGCATGCACATTGGAGACTGTGTAACCTTCTTGTAGCTGACAGACAACTTCAAGCCAAGTTGCTAAAAGGAAAGGATTTGATTTTGCAAGGAACGAGAGCTTTGGGGTAAGGCAAAGAGAAACTTGTGAAAAGATTCCTAAACGATGCTACAGACATTATACTACAAATTGGAAATATAAGTAAATGAGAGAAACTAGATCTGATTTTAAACAAACAAGAAAGCCATTGTGAGATAATAAAAACTGTCCGGTGTGCAAGATGCAGTGCCGTGCATGCAATCACTTGGCAGGAGTGCAGAGCTCACATACAAGTTGCAGTGCATTGGAGGTCTGGCTCTCTTACCCTGACACTCAAACAGTGTTCTTGAAGGAAAACATCGAAAAGCAAATTAGCTCAAATAACCCAATGGAAGCCCATTACCCAAACCCACCTTTACTTTCTAAATGCTCCATCTCTGTGTTCCTGAACTTATCACATCCTGCAAGCCGCTGCTTGCATGTTTTGTTAAAGGGTTGTTAAACAACACTTCAGAGAAGTCCATGGAAATGCACTGGTGCATCCTGCCTCCCTGCCAGCCTCTATTGCCACCACTGCCACAGCCTGGCTATGCCAATGAGCAGGTTGTTCAACTTCTTTCCGTTTTACTGTGAGATTCCCATTTCCCGGGTAATACTGGAAAAGACACTGCAAAAATAAGTTGACATAGGTACTCTCTGTTTACCCCACTGAAAAATCATAATACTAATCTACCTCTTAGAAAGCTGTGAAGTTTATTGATTTCATCACTGTTTATAAATTGCTCTGAGGGCATTGTAATAAGATTGCTACAGACTTGTAAATCATTATAATTACCACAGTATTATGACTAGACTTGCTAAGTATCTTTAGATTTTAAGCTTTTTAGGCCAAGCTATTCCTGTTTTATACAGGGCTGATCACACTGCTAAGGCAATGTCAGAAACATATATGAGATGCAATATTCCTAGGTTGTAGGTGCTATGTCTGATGCAAAAAAAGGGGTAAAATGAAGTTTGTTGGCAGGTCTCACCACTTTCTAGGCAAATAATCTCTTTGGCCTATATAAATTTATAATTTTTATCATTTGAAATTTTGTAATTATATTATAATAGAATAAATATATCATAATATTATAGCATATAACATTAATTTGCTTCATAATATGAAATATTATTATGTCTAATAGTATGCTTACATTAATAATAACTATTATAAATACTTATGTAATTTATTATAGATTTCTCTATGTTTATTTTAACATAGTTTAATCATCACTATGAAGATAAACACTTGTGAGATATTTGTTATTTTCGCAGGCAACAGTGCATGCAGTGAAATGCTGCTCAGCAGCAAGCAGAGCAAAAGGAATTAGCTTCAAGGTTTTTGCTCTCTTTACTATCTGGGTGGAAGAAACAATATCAGGATGGCTTCTACAAGTAAAAGAAATTCTGCAGGTATAAAATTTTATTTACTAAGATTTTCAGTTTCAATCCATTATTATCAATATATGATACCATTGTCTTTGCCCTCCACCTGCCAACCATTTTGTGGTAAACAATAGGTGAAAAACAGGGGAAAACAGCATGCTGAAAAATTTGGAGATCTTATCTGGATTTACACTGTGTGTTAATTCTGTCCCTCTGCTTCCTTCCTTAAAGAATCTGTCCTAAATGCAGCATTTCCCTTTACAGCAGCATCTTTCTTGTCCCTGACACAGAGGTTGGACAAACCAATTTGTAAAAAAAATTAAAATCCTTATGAATTAACCAGGAACTGGAAGATACAGTCAGTATCTCCAAGACACTGATGATGAAGTTATTCAGCCTGGAGAAGAGGAGGCTCCAGGGAGACCTTATTGCAGCCTTCCAGTACTTAAAGGGGGCTATAAGAAAGCTGGGGACAGACTTAGCAGGGACTGTTACAACTGTAGAAAGTGTAATAGTTCTAAACTAAAAGAGGGTAGATTTAGACTAGATATAAGGAAGAAATTTTGCACTATGGGTGTGGTAAAACACTGGCACAGGTTGCCCAGAGAGGCAGTAGATGCCCCATCCCTGGAAACATTCAAGGTCAGGTTGGACGGGGCTCTGAGCAACTGGATCTAGTTGTCCCTGCTCATTGCAGGGGGGGTGGACTAGATGACATGTAAAGGTCCCTTCCAACCCCAAGTATTCTGTGGTTAAACAAGATCATTTAAATAAGACAGAGGCTCATGATATCTTCTGAGCCTCCTACATTGTCCCTATCATTTATTTATGGTTTGTGCCAGTTGTCAGCAGTAACATTGACATCAGGGATCATGGCCTAGTCCTGTATTTTTTAGCTTTGATTTGTATTTGTCTCCTCTAATTGTAATGTGGTTTTTAGCCATTTAAACACAGAAATCCAATGCTCAGCAACAATTCCCAGTTCAATCAGGTCCTTGCAAGACATTAATTGGCAACAAATTGAGTAATGGTGCTGTTCATTTCTCTTTGATCAGTGAGAACTCAAAATATATTTTGCCCTGAAGGTGGAGTCTGCAAGCACGGATTCCTCATCAAATCACCACCTCTTCAACTTTTCAGCTCACAGGTATACTAGCACAGATTAGTCATATTCCAGCAATCCTTCAACAAGCATCTGTTATTTCTACTATCTTGAATTTTAATGACAGACAAATTACTTTCTCTTCGGCAGAATTCCTGGAAAAGACGTTTTTTCATCCTGTCCAAATCCAGCAAGGGCAATTACATCTTGATGTACCTGAAAGGCCAGAACATAAAAGGCTCCATAGCTGTTGATCAGTATGTAACTCAAACGCATCACCTTTTTATTTTAAATCATGTATCAGCACTCTTAAATGGCCACTGATTGTTCTTGTCCTGATCAAGGTTCTTAATGCAAATCCCACTGAAATCAAGAAAAGAGTCCTGTGGGCTCTTGTAGGTTTTGGGTACAACTTATAGTATATGATACAAGTAGGACTGAAAACCCTGAATGTTTTCAGTGAAGTTTGATACATTTACATGAGCTATTGTGGTGATGTGGTATCGGCAAAACAGACATCTTAGCTTCATGATCACAAAGACTGTATTCCTGTAGTAGAAGGTATTTTATCTCCTGTGAGGATGGTGCTATGCATTCACTCACACACAGGTAAGGATGGGCTAACTGTGGCACACAACCTTTCCCACCTTACAGCTTTACAAAGTGCTTTGCAAATTGTGCAGAGGTCTCCTGGCTCTCACATAGCCCTTTGGGCTGATGCTGGCTGCCCCACTGCCTCTTACCCTCTTGAGAAATTGCTCTGCTTGGCTCGTTTGCATTGGTCATTTAATTCTTCTCGGCACAGTGCCCACTACAGCAAGGCTGGATGCCATTGGCTTTGTACCGGCACCTTTTACCGTGTCACATGTGGTGTGAGAGACATAGAAGGGAAACAGTAAATGTAAAGGGAAATGTAAAGATTTTACCAGTCAGACCTGGAGCTTAATACAGAGGCTCCTGGAATTGTTAGGCCTGGAGGTCACTGGACTCACATTGCTTTTGTGCTTCTTCCATTAAAAGGATTTACATTGTGAAGCTTTTTTAAAAATTCCAGCTTGCTCAGTAGTATGTAGCTACATCACAGCCATCATTATTATTGTTATTTTTACTATTTTAACTTCTTGGAAGTTAATGGAAGTAGTGCTTCCATTTAAGTATCCATTAAGAGTACTTCTTGTTTGTTCCACTTACCTTCCATTAAAACACTGTTAATATACAATTAGTTTCTAATCAAATGTGTTGTACTGTAGTGGTTCACAAACACCTGCCAGGAATTTTTCTTACTATCATTTCTTTTCAAGATTCTACATTAGATCAACAGCCCCTTTTTTAAGAAATGAGGATCCAAAATCCAGACACAAGTCTTTGCAAAAGTTCATTTTATTTTTTTGCTTGGAAGTTTTCTTCATTGAAAGAGCATCCGTTTTGAATGCATGTGCTTATTTTCTTGACAATTTTTTCTGTGGAAAATGTTTACCTTTTTCCGTGCAGATCTCATCATATTATGCTGTGCTTAGAGTAAAATACACACATACACACACACACACCTATGTTTGTATGTACGTATAGTTACATAGGATGTTTCGTATGGTTATCTTAACAGAATCATAAGTATCAAAGTTGGCATAAGCAATTCTGAAATTATGGAAACGGTGAGGAAGATGTTTAAATGCCTTCCTGAAGAGGTGATGTCCATCAGTACTGAAAACAGATGTTACTACCTCATTGGGAGCAGCAGGTAGGCAGCGAAAGATGTGGAAATGCCATATGACATCACAGTTAAGCTAATGTAACACGAAGCCTCTGCCCCAAGGCAAGGTCCTACTCCTTCACAGCCCTCTCATCCCTTCCCACGTCTCAGCTACCGATTGCACAGCTCTGGGATGAAACGATTCAGCTGGTTGATCCAATGGAAAACTGCTCTTTTCTGTGTTGGGTTTTTTCCCCCCCTGTGGCCAGGTTAATTTTTTGCTAGCTAGGACAGGTGAGCTAACCTTCCCTGCAGCCACACTGTTACAACATCCAACATGTGAAAGTAGTGGGAGCACACGGCTGGGAGCAGGGATGGAAGCAGCAGTACATCACTGTGGTGGTGCCACGTCAAACTGTATCGGTTAAGGGTCAAGGAAGAGCAGAGAGCTTCGTCTTCTCACCCAGCTGTTCCTGGGAGTTAGGAAAGCTTCTGCTCCTTATAGATAAATCACAGGAAATAATCTTGCCCTGGAAAGTAAGTTGTTTATCAAAGGAAGCAGATTGAAGGGGAAAATTCCTCTGAGGGAAAACAGATCCCAAAAGGAGTGACTGGGGCAGCAGGGCGGTGTGCTCCCTGCTCTCCCAGGCTGCAATCCAGACCTCAGCAAGGGCAGAAACTGCTACTGTCGAGGTGATAAGCCAAAACTTGGTTAGGTGAGGGAGGATATTTGGCACAGTGCTCCTCTGCTGCTGCTTCCCAGCTTCTCCTCTCCAGTTTCCCAGCCACAAGCATGTCAGGGGGTTTTCTGCCTTTATGCAGGTGAGCAACTGATGTGTGAAATGCTGATAAGCATAGAAGAAAAACACATACCTGTGTGTTACTTGAGCATGCCACCAGATGCCTTCCCCTAGGGTTTTCCTTGTGTTTTACCTGCAACTAAGTTTTCATTTCTGTTGTTCCAACCTACAGGCAGGAAACTGAGGACTGGGTCACTGTGATATCTTCAATCTGCAGGGAGGCCAAAAGAGGTGGATGCTGCCCTCAGGTGACATGTTACTGCACTTGATTTCAGAAAGAAAGAAGTTTGGAATTTCATTAGAAACCTGTGTGCAGGAATTTTCCTGAATTTGGCCTTGCAAGCTGGCTCTTGCCTTGGTTAATCAGAAAATCATTTTCCTTATAAATCCTGTACCCTGGCTTTATGCATTAAGCAGGCATTGCACAGTCTGTTTGCATTGGGATTGATTTTACATTGAAGGAATCTCTTTGAAGAGTTAGCCACGTGGAAATTAGGAGATGATTCACATTATACTGCAATAAATTGCACCTTTGATGTGTCAGAATGAAAACTTGTGTGTAATTCTTACTGTGTGCTTTTTGGTTATATCTACATGCTGTTTTACAAACCAATCCACATCTAGTCTGTCAATGTTATGAACCAGCCAGAGGCCCTAGTTCAAGCTTAGGCCCAAGTTTCTGCACCTGGTCATCCAGCCAAGCCTACTAGTTCAGACTCAGCACTAAGCTAGTTACGTCCCTGCAGCTTCCAGTCACCTCAAAATGCAAGCAGGGCAAATTTATGTCTGCCTGAAAAATGCCATGTAGACAACCTCTCTGAGCCACTTGAAGTAAAATTTGGACTACTGGGATGTGTTGGTACATTGTAGCCCATGCCTGCCAGGTGCCTGTCTTCTTACACTGCTGTTACCTTATTTCTAGAACCAAGATCTTCCAAATCTGGAAGTCAGAAGCCGGACCTCCTCTTCGCCACTGTTCTTGAATTCTATAGATACGACCAGTTTCCCGGAAAGGCAAAGCTACCAGAAGGTAAACAGATTAACCATCCTTAATAATGAGTTTGCTCATAGGGGTGACTGTGAAATTTTATTTGTATAGTTGCTTTTTTCCATCAAAATTCTTTAGAGCTTGTGCAATGGGTACCCGGGTGGTCTGTTTTGCTCTCTGGTGGGGTTCCTGAGTAGGACCTGGATGATAACATCAGAGAGTTCCCCACAAAGAAAAGACTTTTGAGGAAAGTCTGCATGTAAAGTAAAGGCCGGTGTTGATGGCAATAAGAAACAATATTCATTGGCTGTCTCAAGTGACTGGCAAAGATCAGTAGGCATGAAGTAAGCCCCTGAAGATTTGCTTCGACATGCCTTGGCAAAGCCACGTGATGATTGTTTGAGCAGCTGCTAGCCACATTCCTCCTGTTTTGTGATTATGCTTTTCTTTGTCTCTCTCTTCAGGTTGTAAAGCTTAGAGGGGAGTTTAGGTCCAGTTCCTCTGTGCCTTCCAGGTCTTCCCCCTCAATATTTAAATAGAAAGGAAGGAAAGCGTTACTGCTGTCCCAAAGCAATTGTAGTTCTTGTCCTTTGGTGGCAAGCTAAATAGCAGCCAAGGATTCGTTGGTTTTCTCTAGTCACAAAGCTCTGTGCAAAAGGCCCAGCTAGAGGAAGCTGAATGCAGGTGAAGCACCTCCAGCCTGTCTCTAGGAGTCGTCAGCTTTTTTCTTTTGCATACAGGAGAATGGCTCCTCAGAAGACAAGAACAGACCTAATTCAGATCCTGGCCCTCATCAGACTCTCTGTGACTTACCAAGAGGAGTTTTTTCAAGCCTGGTGAGCAGAACATATCAAACAGCTCTTGACTTGTTCAGTCTGCATAAGTGACTATTGGCTCTTATGTCACCTGAGTATCTGTAACTATAGTTGATCCACCTACTTTCCCAGCACACTGAGTTGGTTTTCACTATGAAAGTTTCCTAAATATTTAGTGTATTGTCTTGTATAACATTGAAAATAACCTTACAAGAACTTGCTTGAAACACCTTTTTTTCCTTTCCTTCTTGGAGGCAGATCCTCAGAGTTTCTATGCAGCAATTGCAACTTGTGGCAGCTTTCACAAACTTGATCAAGAAAACTCTGAACTTGCACTGCTTGAGGATTTGCTCCTCCCACCACAATTCTCAGCTGTGCCACAGTCTTCCTAAATGGTTTCTTTCTATAGCCTCTGACAGTAGCAGTTGAATCAATGCAAATGAATACAGCACAAGAGCTTGTTAAATTCAGGCACACCTCAGGACTGACCTTCTGTCAGCATAAATATGACTTCAGGTAATTTAACTTCCATAGCCTTCAGGAATGATTAAAAAAGATGCAGCGATGAGTGTTATCATGTATTAATGGCTAAATGTTCTGACCTGTGTTCCCTGAACAAACACCAGCAGCAGTTTTGGAGGGTTTTCACCCATCCTCTACCCCCGATTACTGTCTTTGCAGCAGAGTCAGCAGAACAGAAGACACAACCAAGGCTCCTCCACACCAGTATGCAGTTCGGCAGCTGAGTTTAAACTCATCTTTATTGGCGGTTTATGCATTGGACTATGATCTGGAGTGGCTGAGATACAGGGAACAGAATCTGTTCTGCTATCATAGCTAACTGGGTGGTAAATAATGTACTGCTGTCACCATCCATATATATAGGCTGGCAGCAAGTATGAGATAATACAGCTAAACTTAGTGGAAAGAAGTGAAAATAGTTGCAACTATATTGCAATGTCGTAGGCAGTTAGCACAGCTCAGCTGATGCACAGTACTTTATGAAGCTGCAATAATTCAGTTGTGAGTCTGAGCTCGGAAATGCATTGGATTAACTCTTAGTCTGATTTTAACTGCTGCTGGTCTGGATGCATACCAAAGCTCTCTTTCTGTCTCTTTCTTACACATGCCTTTTCTGTCTCACTCATTAATTCTCCTCATACTTACTTTCATGCGTCAGAGAGCATGTATTCTATGCAGCTGTTCGGACTAAGACATACTGACCATGACAGTTAAAAAATAAGGAATTTGCATTTTACTGCTTTTACCTTTTTAGCCTGAAGCAGAGGGAATAGCAGGAAGCTCATATTTCTGTTTCAGCATGTGTGAACATAAATAACCTTGCCGTACAGCTAACAAGAATCAAAAATGTTTGTTCATTCGATAAAAATACTTCACTTACCTCATAAGGTTAGCATCTGCTAACATCTCCGGATCTATTCTCTGCTCAGTGTAGTCTAGACAGCTGACTTCCAGATTAATCCCTTGTATTTCCTTCCTTTTAGAAGTATGACTCCACATTTCTAGTATCTGATTCATTTTGCTTTTTATCCGTGGTTCCCTCATCCAGGCCCAGATCTTGAAAACTCTTTGGTCAGTAGCCGTCACTCATGCAAACAGGCCTCTCAATGTCAGTTGAGTCTAGTCGTGGTGGCAGGGACCCTGGAGAGGTCTGGGGACCTGTCTCCTTTGCAACCCACATTTTGGAACTACCAAACCACATCTGACTCAGCAATTCAGTATCAGCTGTTTTGATACACAGCTTTCAATACCTGACGTGCATCAAAATAAGGAGCCCTGACTTGCATCACCCTGCACTGCGCATTACTGTATTACAGGCACCTAGGCATCCTTGTCAGGGTCTGTTAGACACACCTGACTTTTTTTAAAGAGAAGTTCTTCTATCTAAGAGCAACACATGACCTTCCCTAAGGAGACTATAACTAACAATTATTCAGTTGATCTCCAGGTATCATTTCCATCTTGAGCTACAGCCAATTTTCTCCATAGCCTACTTTCTCTCTAATGTAAATCCACATCATGGTTCAACAGAGGCTTAAAGAACGTGTTTAGCTGTACGGTTGAGAATAACTGTACACTGAGGTTAATTGCACTTTTCTTGTGGTAAAGCACCTGGTGGAATGGAGATGTTGGTGAACTGCTTTACAAAAACGTAGCACTGCTGCAGCTTAACCTTCTCCTTCCCATTGGCCCTTGTTGCAGTTTAGCCCCAGCCGGCGACTAAGCCCCACACAGCCACTCGCTCACTCGCCCACAGTGGGACGGGGAGAGAATCAGAGAGCAAAGTGAGGAAACTCATGGTTTGAGATAAAAACAGTTTAATAGGGAAAGCAAAAGCCGCGCACGCAAGCAAGGCAAAACAAGGAATTCATTCCCCACTCCCCAGGGGCAGGCGGGGGTTCAGCCATCTCCAGGGAAGCCGGGCTCCATCACACGTAATGGTTACTTGGAAAGACAAACGCCATAACTCCAAACGTTCCTGCACCCCTTCCTTCTTCTTCATCCCCGTTTTATATACTGAGCATGACGTCGGATGGTATGGAATATCCCTTTGGCCAGTCTGGGTCAGCTGTCCGGGCTGTGTCCCCTCCCAGCTCCCCGGGCCCCCCCAGCCTCCTCGCTGGCAGCCCAGCACGAGAAGCTGGACTGTCCTTGGCTGCTCAGCAACAACTCAAAACACCAGCACATTATCAACATTTTCTCATCCCAAATCCAAAACACAGCCTCACACCTTTCTGTGAAGAAAATTAACTCCATCCTGACTGAAACCAGGACAGCCCTATAATCTAGGCCTATAACACTATACATTTGGCAAAAGGTAACCACTGTCAGTGACTGAAGGCTCAGTTTGGGAAGCTGATTATTGCTGTCTGCTCTCCAAGGTTTCCTAGGAGTTGGAGGCTCTCAAGGCTTCATAAAATCACCTCTTCTTCCCCCATCTCCCCAAGCGTTTACTTGTTTGATTGATCCAAAGCCCCTGAAAAGTCACTAGGAAACTTGTTCATGACTTTAGATCATGACCACAGTTTTGTTCCTATTGTAGTTTTGTTATGCACTTCTTGGAGGACCATTTGCAGTTTTGTTCTGAGTCCTACTGCATACGTTCCTTTTTATGTCATTTATACCAACAAGGAACAAAAACACATTCATCGTCTTTAATTTCTATTCAATGCCAGTTTCTTCTCTTTACATGTAAGAGAGTAATTAATGTAATTTACTTAACCGTGAAAGCAGTAATATATTCTGTGGAATATTAGCAATTATTAAAATGGTCACCATGGAAGCCAAGGATGTAGGTGGAGAGATAAAAAATGGTTGCATTACAAACATGGCATGGAGAATTGCATTGTGAGGAAGCTAAATACTAGTTACCGTACTCTTCACTATAGAAAAGTCAACAAGGAGACATAAAAATAAATAATTTATCTTTGTGACTTAGAAAGGTGAACTTGGTGGAGGGATTCATTTCTCCTTGACTGACCAAACGGCCACAAACTTAGTATTTCAGGTGTTTATGAAGGCAGAATATCACTCCACTCAGGACGCAAAGAATTCAATGTCAGATCTCCAGCCCCCTGGGGTATGTTCTAGTTCATGGAGAAGTATGAGATAATAGACTTCCCATTAGTCATGGAAGTCCCAAATTAATTCTTTACTTGACAGCAGCTAAAAAGTGCTTAAAAAGCACAACTATATCCTGATCTACTTCTAGATTTCCTACAGATCTTTTTCCTATTGTAAGGACTTTAGAACTGAACACATGTAAAAAATCTTTTCCACACAAGAGACCCTAAATGCATGCAGATTCATATATGAAGTGTTTAATCCACTTGATTTTTAAACAAAATAACAGGTTGTGAACATGCAATCAATTGCAACTCCCTGGTTACCACAAAATCATGTATGAGAAGTATAAATACCAGTGGCCAGTTTTGTCCTTGTGCAGTGGATCTCAAAAATACAAGGAACACAAATACAGAAACCTTGTTTCTGAAACAGACTGGCTCTGAGCATATCTCACTTCAAGCAGAAACATGTCTTCCCATGTTTTCTGCGGATTTTTGGTGATTCTATTACTTCTACATGTAAATGCAAAAATACATGTTAAACAATCTGTATAACTGAACCTGGTAAATACAAAACCATTCTTTT